GCAGCCAGCAGAAATTTTTCTACTTTTTACAGGGCAAGAACCTGCTTATTACCAGTAAGACCGCACTCTTCATATCAAAGGCAATTTCAAAGAGGACAGATTATTTAGACCAGATTGGTGCTGACTGTGGGGGTGATGGTTTGATATGAACTTGTATCACAGTTTTACTTATATTTACTAATTCTTATCTGTATGTTTACAATGGTTTTTTATTTTATTTCCTTTATACTTGATATCATCAATAGACTAAATCAATAAAGTTGATTGATTGTGTGTGGTCAACTCAAGACAGTGAACATACTTAATACTCCCGCCTCCTATTTTCCCTACAACAACCCTGTGAGGTGGGTTGAGCTGAGAGAGAAGGATTGGCCCAAAGTCACCCAGCCGGCTTTCATGCCTAAGAGAGGCCTAGAACTCACAGTCTCCTGGTTTCTAGGCCAGCACCTTAACCACTACACCAAACTGGCTCTCTTTCTGTCATAGAAATACCTACAATATGGATACCTCTGTAGATTTATTGGTTTTCAGAATGCCTGCTTCAAATATATTTCTTAGGATTACTTTTGTGATATTTTTTATTTTTTATCACGATTAATAAGAGAGTATTGCTCAGTTCACATATATGCTGTACTAAAATGTGGTTGGCTGGTTTATGGTTTATTGTATTGCGGAAACTCAGGCAATTAGGTTAATTAAATAAATCATAGTTAAGTTTACCATGGGTTAGTCTGTTGTGGATATGTAGCCTGAGAAATGTATCTTTGTTAAAACCAGAAATGGACCGATTTTAAAGCCTGCTAATAAATAAGATTTGCCTTTGAATGCCATTAAACAAATCTGAGTGACAAATGTTTCTTAATATTTTAAAATACATTGATTCACAGAACACAGTCCACTTTGAAATACTGGCAAAGTCCTGCTGTTGGAGTCTCCCTTTCCTGTCACAATTTCAAGGCTAAAATGCATGTAAATTTCAAAGTGAAATTAACAAGTCTTACATGTTGTATATAGGTCTAGTCTGTACCTGGTTTTTTGTTTGTTTTTTTCCCCACTTCTATGCCTGTAAATAAAGAGTTTTACACAGTTAGTTCAACTAGATATACCAAAGATTAGTTAGGAGAATTTTATTAAAGCTCCATCTTTGGATTCTTACAAACGCTAAATTACAGTATAGTATCTAAAGGAAATAATTCGTTTCTCTGACCAAGCCATCTATTTCAAAAATCCACTGCTTTCTGCACGGGGGGAAGAAAAGGCCTGCACAACATCCTTCCTCTCATCACGCAGTTCCTATCTCGCCAGAGCACCGCACAACTTCACCTCAAGAACGCCGCGATCCCGCCCTCCCTTAATCTCATCCAGCGCGTTCAAGGAGCGTAGCCTCCAAGCCGCAATAAAGACAAGCATCACCGGCAGCCTAGCCAAGTTCTCATTTCTTGAAAAGACACGTGATGGGCATAAAGCAGCCCAAAAAGTTCATAACGCCAGCACGTGCACTTTTAGCTGCCTAAGGTCTCCACCCGTCAGCTTGTTCGGACAGCAGCCACAAGGCCAGAGAGATTTCGGGACGGGGCTCCGCGGCGGCCAGACCTCCTCCTCGGCGGCAGACGTCAACTCTCCACAAAGAGCATCGATTTATTTTCACCCCGCGCCTGTCGGGCAATCCCCCGAAGAAAGCCTGGAGGAGAGGGAACCTAACCTTTGGATTCAGCCGCCCCAAAGGAACGAAAGCTCGTCCGCACGTCCACGCTAAGGTCTACTCACTCACACGCCTTTTCTCCTTTCTCTTTCGCACATCCCCTCCGCTTCGCACGCCGGACAAGACAGCGCCCCCGGCGGGAGAGCAAGCCTCGCCTCCGTCGCCCCTCACCCAGGGCTCCTCGCTCCCTCCGGGAGGGCGCCTGCTGCTGCTGCTGCGGCTGCTGTTGTTGTCGTCGTGGAGGGAAAAGAGGAGGCGCGCCTCTTCCGTTCCTCTCTCCCTGCAGAAGGCGGCGGTGACGAGGGCTATTCCGCGAAGGAGGGGGCGGAGGAGAACTGAGCGGCAGAGCAGCCCCGGCTGGGGCAGCCGCCCCAGCCTACAGCACGGCAAGTGCGCAGGCGCCTTACGGCCCGTCCGACATTCCAGCGGCGACTGACAGGGTGGAATCCCGGAGCAGAGGCGGAGCGGCAGCAATAGGGACGCGTCTCGAAAGTTAACCAAGGAATAGGATCGCGGCTCCGTGCCCCTTCCTCATTTTCCTTCCACCTCCCCTGCCCTGACACGTCTCGACCCATTATGTCTCCTGCCTCGTTCCCGTGTCGTCCCCGAAGGAAAAAAAAATACAGTACAGTATTGCTCTTAAAGCTTTCACTCCTTCAGCATCTTCAGGCTGAATGAAGTAAACTAACCAGAGGAGGGAAAGACTGTGCTTGTATTCTCACGAACCTAGGGTCTAAATTCAAGTGGGTGTAGCTTACTTTATCAGAAATTAAGAAAAATTATATTTTTTAATTATCGGGGTGAAGGCACAGTCCTGCTGTTCTCCTTTTGCTGTCAGCCAGACCAAAAAAAAAAAAAAGACCCAGGAACATATTTTTATCCATTTGTTAATTTATTAGATTTGTAAAGCTGTCTGATTCATCATGTGACTCAAAGGGGCAGAAACGTTAATACAAACCTGAAAATATTTATCCCTCTTACAACTGCCACCTGAGTGTCTGCTTTGATGAATGGTGCAGTTCTTAAGGATATTTTTTTCAGTCCCTTGTCATAGCAAAAAATAATGTTATATCTTTTGATATCTCCTTATTTTCTGTATTCTTAATAGCCTTATGATGGTCATAGTGATCAGAATTAATTTTCGTTAAAGTCACCTGTAAATAACCAGCTGTATTAATTAATGCATTCCCTGCTGACTTTTCATCCCTCTGGACCTCTTCCTTTCTCTGACAGCAAGATTTTTTTAAAAAATGTATTGTAAAAAAATAATAAACAAATTAACCCTTACTATTCAGCGCCCATCATCTGAGTTTTGCACCAAAGCATTATTGCACTGGTATCTCAGGAGAAGCCCTGAACAATTTCCTTATGTATCTATAAAGCTTTATTCTCTGGTGAAGCACCTAGATAGTCCACAGCCTTAGTGTGTACATGGCATGGTTTAAGCTGTCACCTCTTTATAGCATTTCTATCTAATGTATTAATTCATTCACAAGGAACCAGTGGCACAAGACATAAACTGTGTTTACTAAGATCAACTTCAACTCACCTCTGACCTGGAACTAAAAAGAATTGACCATATTGCAAGGAGCATGCCAGTACTCCCGGTAACATATTGGTAAATACTATTTAAATCTTGTTTCAACCAATGATAAATACCAACTTCCTCACATCTGGGGGAAGCCACATCCTGCTTATTAGCTTTGAGACCAATAATTATAATGGTGAAAAAGAGAATTTTAAATGGAAGCTCTTATCTAATTAGACAGGCGTGCCATAATGGCTGTGCCTTCATTTGGTCTTCCCATAGTGTCAATCAGAGATCATTGCATCAGATATGGCCCTTGCATTAATCATCCAATAACTGTTTTTGTACCCCTCAAAAGGTAATTCTCTTGTGCTCCATATCATTGATTACAATTTCCAGCAGCCTCAGCCAGCGTAGACAATGGTGAGGAATGGGATGAATTCTGCTTCAGCAACATCTATACCCCTGTATGTTCCCTTGTTTCTGCTGCACACAGTACAATATAGTTCTGAAAGGTGCATAAAAGGCATTAACTTACCTGTTTGTTGTTGCCTTATTGAATTAATAAAACCTAGGAACCCACTGAAGTGAAATGGGAGCCTAATCAGTGAACAGAAGGACAAGCCAATACCTTGTATGGTAAAAAAAGACCAGAAACAGAAGTTACCTGAAAATAAGGTTTTCTTCTAGAAAAAGCCACCTAATGACTGAAACGATAAGTAAATAGGTATGTTATTGTTGTTCAACTGAATGTTTCAGGACAGTTTAAACAGAATTATGTGGTGTCAAAATCAGTTTGTAATTTTGGAGATTCCTGAGTATAATTTCTATTTGAAGCCCTGCAGTTTTGAGGTCTAAAATTGCAAATGTTCCTAACAGAGGTCTTTGATTTTTAGCAAAATTATTGGATGACCTGAATGGAAATAGAGTTCTTCTAACTACAGAAGTGTTGCCAAACCAAATGCAGAAGAAGGAGATATCCAGATATTTCCTCCATTTATGCCATGATGCCACTGGCAAAGCAAATTTGCTGCTGTAAAAACAAGAACCTCCCACTGGAAACATTTGATGAATATTTTGTCTGAGAGAAATCTGATTCATGAGATAACTTCTTTTCTCCAAATGACAAAGCCTGGGGAATTTGCTGAGATCTTTCTAAAGGTAGCTATGTGAAAAACCAGATGACTGAGTTTGGGGGTAAGAGAAATTGGCTGTGGGCATTTTAAAGAAGGCTTTATCTCCAAAGCTAAATGGAAATTGCTTCAACTTTAGAAGTAGAGTAGGGATGTACAAATCAGAGTGCACATGGATCAGCTGCTTTTTAGGTGGTCTGTGCCTGCTTGTTTTGCTCCATATATGGGATAGAATGAGGCTGTTTTGTTTTAGGAACAAATAAAAGGCAGTTGTTCTGGGCAGAAATGTTGGACAGGGGAAGAATAGGAAAAAACCAAAGCTGAGGGGTTTATTTGGCAATGGTATATTTCTATGACACAACAGAAATGGGGAAAGCAATGAAAGATAAAAAGGGGAGGAGCTTGTGGTGTGATGTCAGGGAGATCCCACATGTCAGCTGCATGTATCAGCCTTGTGAGGTAGTTCAGACAAGAAGCACACCCAGAAGTTCTAGTTCTAACTTTATTGTAAGGTTACATTAACAGAATCTTGCAAGTCTGAAAGTACATCTCTCTCCCCACTCACCTTTACAGTCCAAGAAACTAGGGAGGGTCCCTTCTGAGATGTTTGCCACACCTACATTCCTTCTGCAGGCTAAACTGCCTCTTACTTGACCACTGTCTAGTCTCCAGGCTCTTCCTCCTGTCTCCCAAGGTCATTCCCACATACCGTTACAGCATGTGCCACAGAAGGCACTCCTTGTTTCACCGCAGCATGGCAGTAGCTGAGGGGGGAGAGGGGGGAGAAGGCACTGGGAAGACAGAGCAGCCAGGTGGGCCAACAGGATATGCTGTGTTGAGTGCCACTGAGACCATCACCGTAAGAAACGAGCACACAGGCTAGTACCAAGCAGAAGCTAAGGGGAAGCAGAAGAGTAATAGAAAGGAAGTTACAGTACTGAGGAGAGGCAAGGGATGGAGAGAAGGCAACCAGCAGGTGAGGGGAGGCAGGGGAAGTGAGAGAAGAGAAGATGGGGAGACAGATGGGCTATAGGACATGCCACGCTGGGAGCTGCTCAGACCATGCAGTAAGGAAGAGCCACAGACCATTCAGAGGAACAACAGCAGCACTGTAAAGAACAAGTATCCTTGTTTCTGAAGAAGGGAAGAGGTGGGCAACATGCATCAGCCTTGCTCTACATGCCTTGCAAAATCTTTCTGGAATTCTTCCAAAGTTTGTTTTGGCCAAACTGTCTGATCCAAAGGTGTTGACAGAACTTCCAGGACACTTTTTTTTCCCTTTTGGGGTGAAACAAAACATGTTTCTAGTTAGAGTAAGACTCTCATATCCGGTCTTGCAAAGACAGCAGAGATTTCTCGTATGTTTGTGCTGCCATCTAGTGGTCATCGGTTTTCCTTTCTCTTTTGAGGTTCAGGTATAGCAACCTTTTAAAAAGGGCTGAGCAGCTCCGTCAAGGGTCAGGGCCACCCATCAGAAAACTAAGGTACTCCAGTCTTCCAAGCCTACAGAAGAAAAATGAGCAAAAAGCTTGACCAGTACAGCTGAAGGGTTTCAATGCACTCCTTTTGGGAAAGACCACAGAGGGGGATAGAATCTATAAGATTGCTGAATGCCATAAATGCAAAAAGACTGATTACTTTGCAGTTGTTTATTGTACTCAAGAATTTTAAAATACATGCCAGTGAGTATTTCTTTTGGGGCATATAATATGCCCTGATGATTCTGCCAAATCATGGAATTGTCTGCAAATCAATAACTATCCAATGTGCTTTAAAAGTGACTGAGGAACTGATGAAACTGTGATTACAGAATCTGCCTACAGATATTTCCAGGGTTCGCCTCATCTCCAGCAGACAACCATGGCCCTTGCAGGTTTGATCAAGAAATTTCTGAACCACCTTTAAGCCAACAGGAGTGGAAGTATCCCTGGACAAAGTGAGATAAGAGGTGCAAAAACCTATGCCCACAAGAAAGATCTGCTTGAGAATGAAGGTCTGCTTAGGAAACGGTACTACTTCTGTGCAGCTCTACTTTATTGTAGAGCTGTTGCAACCAAGCTAAGTGGAAGATGGAAGCTTAAAGCGTCTGAGTTCAAGTGTACCACAGAAATGCAACTCAGTGCTCAGAGCAATATCTTCACGTAGCAAGTTTTTGTCAAATTCTTCCTGAGCCCTGTCTCACACCCTTGGACAGAACTCAGATCTATTTTATACCCTAAACTGGGTCTTCACAAGCTAGTGGTTCCTGCTAACACACATTTGTTTTGATTCCGCACAGTACTGAAACTGCCTCAACTGTTTTCTCTGCTTACTTGCAGGGTGCAGCTATACCCCCTCTGCCCTTTGCAGACCCATTGTCCTGTTTCCTGTGTTTTAGGGTCTCTTTTCCACTGTTTTGCTATAGTGCAATGGTTCTCATGGTTTATGGACCACTGTGGTTTTGCAATAGTATTGTAGATACTTCTTGGTACAAGTTATATAGATTTTTTAATGGCAAATCTCAAGAGATTGTCAAATCACACCAGATTTTGGCATTCTCATTTAAAATTTTGCAATATTTTAAAGCAAGCATCAAAATCTCATGAATTTCAAGCATTTTATTGAAAAAAATTATTTAATTTTTGTGAGACTGGTTTAAGGAATTATAAGGCTATACAAATTGAATGAACGAATAAATAAATAAATAAATCTGAGGCCCAATGCAACACCTGGTTTGGAGGT